TTATTTGAATTACTTAATAATAATAATAGTCCTTTTTATTAATTAGTTTACCCTTAGAAGTGAACATATCTCATAATGTTACATCAGGATGTTAAACAAAGTTTTAGCCAAATCAATCATACCAAACCATATTATAGTACCAGGTACTGAAGTAAATCATTATTACTGTATCACATTTAACTGGTGATTGAACAAACAAAGCCTCTTTGTTTACGACATGCAAACCACTAACATATTTCTCCAAGTTCAGCATCAACCTTCTTTACTCTAAAATTACGTTTTAAATAGGAATATTAGAAATGGAACAAATATTCAATCTTCAGAAATGTCCTCAATAAATCTCTATCTAGTGAATAGCCAACATAAAAAATATCAGATATATAAAAAATAAACCTAAATACTCCTTTACTATCAAAGTCTAAAGCTAGACCTAAGGTGAACAGTTTTTTGTAATAGACAATTTAAACTAAAAAACAAAACTGGACTTGTGTTTTTTTTGTTGTTATTTGTACTTCAAAATACATTAGTAAATACTTTGTAAAGTTATTCACACTATAACTAACCCTCTCTAGGATATCAAATCAGTTCATCTTTAACCAGATACTATTTCCCTATTTACTTTCAGTTCATTATAACAATGGTATAACAACCACACGTTTTACCCATAGCTAGTTTATATTTCAAGATTATTCTGTGTGATATAATAATTAGATGTCTAGTATGCAAAATAAAGAATATTAATAGTATTAATCTTTTCAGTATTCCAGACCATCGTTAAACAAGCAGCCTCTCTTCTTAAACACTAAACATAATGTTCTGCACCACCCTCTGGAAAACTCTTGCACAGTTATGCTGTAAAATCATTGCATGATTTCTTCAGGGCCTGACCAGTCTGAGACAAGCCTGTCTCAAGATCTTGTCATAATGAGAACAGTCAGTGATTCGTTGACCTCTGCAGCTGTAGTCAGTGGCAGGGTCCCCAAAAAGTTAGAAACGGCCTTGGTCAGTGGGCTCAAGGAAACTCTCTCTGGCATCTGGAGGGAAGGAAACTCTTGGATCAATGTGGTACAATCAGCAGACACACGTTGTCCTCTGGACAGTAGAAATCCCCAAAAATTGCAGTTCCTCTTCACACCACTGTTGCCTTGACAACAAGGGTTCATGTCCATCACAAGCAAAATGTCAAAACCTCCTCAGAGATGCATTCTTTGCACACTTCTTCTGTTTCTGTAGTGAGCAACATTTCACCAACACACTGATTCAGAGTACAACCCAAAGGTGGCGCATAACTATCCAGTGCTGCTGTAATCACAGCCAATCAGCTACTAGAGAAAAACTTAATTTAAATCTCTCCCCCAACGGGTTACAAAATTGGCTGAGTGTCCATATGGTCAGGAATGCTGAAACATGTGAATGTTAAAACAAACCAATGGTGGTAGTTTACCCAGATCCTTTACTTCATCAAAAGTAGTACAACTACATTGTAAAATCTCTTTTGTCTTTTGTCTTTGTCCTGCTTTTAAATTCTAGTCAGGAAAAGAACATAAACATAATCTTTCAAATCTTCTTAAATTCGAAACCAAAAAGGTCTTCCTTCTCCACCATGATGCATTTCAACATCAAAGTCCATACAACTGATGATTTATCTTTAAAACCATGAGGAATGACAGTTTTCATAAAACACTATTCTTCTTTACTTCAGTTCTAAGTCAATGAGCAAAATAAGGAAACCCTCCTTAACCACTATAGACTCATCTTTTATCTACTTGCCTATTCTATTCATTTTCTAATTGTTTATCTAAGTTCTGTGTTACAAGCATGGTTAGGTTGTAACAGAATACAAAACTAACTGTATTCAGTGCTATATTTGAAAAACAAGTAATCTAATTTCAGTTAATGAATTATTGGTGGTTTCCTCACAAAATGTAATCTTCATCACTAAAGCTGAAACCTAAAGAAATCATCACGGAACGGTTTTCTTTCCTTATCACTCAATTGTTTCAATAAAAACAAAAAAGCATCTCAACATCTCAACACTTTATTCCATCTAAGCATGAATGTTTATGACAGACACGCCATATATTCCAAGAATAAATATCTCTGGGCCTAAAGAACAATCCATTAATCCAAAACGGTCTTTAGTGATATAAATTGTGAACTTTCTTAACATTAATTGTAAATTCAACGTATGTTCTCTTTAGAACAAAGATAGGATAGTTGCAGCTGAAACTGGTTAATAGCAACTTTCTGTTAACCTAGATAAGCATGTTGTTCTTATATCTAGTAATATATATATATTTATATTTTATTTTATGTTACTCATAAAACAGTAAACCATAGGAACATTTTCCAGAATAGTAGTTAACTTTATATAACATTTACTCTCTCTAGACTCAAAACATCTTAATTCTCCTGTCTCTCTCTTTCCTCACTGCGCCCTGCAGCTGCTCCTGTCCACAAGCTTCTCTCATCAATCACACTTGACCTCTTATGTTATCCAACAGTGTGAGAGGGCTTGAGCAAGCATCGTACAGAGCCTCTGTCATGCTTAAACATTAACAGATTCCTTCTGACTGACAAACTTATAAAAACCTCCTGCTTATTACTTACTTCATAAACTTAAAAAATACAATTGTGGTGAATCGTTTGCGTTTTCAGTTTCCTATCTACTTTAAACAACCATCAAATGAGAGTCACTATTGTATGATAAATACAACTCCTAAATAACATTACAATATATATTTCTTACAGTAAGTTTGTTATTTAATGTTTAACAATTCTCCTCTTTCTATGTATTGTACTAGGTGGAAAAATCCACTCTTATATTTAATTTGAATAAAACCTTTACCTTAATGTACTTCATATACTCAGTAAACCTCTTCTTACTTTGCCTTAACGTTACTGTATGTAATTAAGTTCCTTTGAAATATAAGTAACAATTCTTAGTCAAATGGCAAATACCATGAAATTCACAATGCAATGCAAAGGTAACAATCAGTTCTCAAAGACTATGTTTAAATAGCAACAAATCATTGTTTCTTATTTATTTCAATATATCTACTACTTCAAATCACACATTGATCTATTAATTTTCAATGTATTCACTCCAACTTCAGATCACTCGTTGATCTTTCACTCCTTGTTTTAAACAGAGAAACACAATGCAGCCTTCTTTCAGGCATTAGAGAAAAAACAAGCAGACACACTCCGGGCTGCTGCTCGACAATTAGAGCAGAATCAGGAGAAGGGGGGGGAGATACTTTCACAGACAAATACAGACACACCCCGGCTCGAACTCTCAGCCTTTTCAGGAGAAGGGGGGACATATTTCAAACTGCAGCTTCATTGACCAATAAGAAATTAAAACAACAAACTATGGTATACCAAAACATTTAGCGCTTTATCACAGACTCTACATTACGGTCTGACAAAACATGGAAAACTCCACTTTTGTATGTAGTGAATTCACAGAGTCGCCAGGCAAGTTTTATACTTTTAACTACCTGAACTCAGATCGGGCTTATTAATCTCTTAATTACCGAACGGACCGGATGTGCACTTGGCTCGCAAAGCAAATCATATCCCCTCAGCCAAATGAATATCTGAACCTTTAGACAATCATTAGGATCTTCTCAGGCAGAATTCACGACTACGAGGTCAGATACAGTGATTCCTCCAGCATAACATGTCCTTACGGCTAGCAAAGATCATATCCCCTCAATCAAACCCTTAGCTTCTCAGGCAGATTACGAGGTCAGATACAGTGATCTCTCCAGTATAAACATTTATCAACATAAAACAAGACCAACAAACAAAACAAACAATCAACAGATTTCAACCATAACTGTGCAAATATCCCAAATCCACTCCTCTGCATCTTCCTTTTAACCAATACAACTTCAAAAGTCATTTAATTCCAAATACGTTTTGCTTACTGTGAGTTGGTATTTCTTCTGTGGAAGTCTCAAGTCTGGTTTCTCAATTCCTCGAGTTTACCACAGCTTTCTATGTAGCTGCCTGATCAGGGTGAGTTAAGACCTCCAGGGAAAAACACAGCAACCTCCAGCATCGGCAATCTCGGTAGAACCTCCAAAATGTTGTGGAGATCCAAGTACTCACACAACAGGAAAGAATGAAACAGAGAGGAATCAATGAAACACAAACACAGAAATAGTTGAGATTAATCATTATTATTTATTTGCGCACCACCAAACAACAATGGGGAAACATTACCTTGCTTCAACAGCAACCAATCGCAGAAATGGTCCCGCGAATATTCAGAAACACACGACACTTATAGGTATCCTAAATGACACACGAACATGTTCCCTAATCATGTTTAACGCACACACATTGTCAGTTCTCCTAAACTTGGACGCACCAACATCAGAGCAACATGTAAGTTCCAGATGTCAAAAGGTCATTATCTCATGAAGTCTTTAGGAGCCTTGCAGGATATGAATTATCCAATTAACAAACTATATATATCGTCTGCACATGAGCGCACATACATTTCTTTACATTTAACTAACACACCAACATCCTTATCGTTTCTTAGCTAATGCATGCTGGATATGAACCACTAACTAACAAGACTTTAACTGTATTATATCTGAGGAAGACCTCTCTTGGAGTTCCTCTGACCTTTGCCAATTTACTTAACATGGGTACATCTGCTGTTAAATGCAAAGACCATTGATAATTAGCAAAGAGACTCATGGGCCTCTTGCAATATCTGGAAACTGTAATTAAATTATAGTTATATTGAGAAGGTCCAAGACTTGACATAACACCTTCACAGCACATATGCCGCTCGTCCATTGACTTCTCTCATCCTTGATATAGCTGATAAACACACTTCATTGTAAATCTCCATAGATAAGTACATTGTGTTTGATTTAGTATAAGCTCACACAGACTCCCTTCTTGTTCATTCCCAGATACAGTGTGTGACAGAGAGGAAGGAGCAGTAATGAGCATGTTGTTGTGTTTGTGTTTAGGTACGACACCACAACAGATCCACCAGGAATCTACATAGGACGTTTGAACCTGCCAACCTGCAAGATGGAAACCACTGATCCAAAGTTATTATTTATCTTATCAGTATTAACATATTCAAAAGTCAGCATCATTTTCAGCAGAGTTTCAGTGCACCTTTGCATTCATCATGTTTTTGATTCTACCAGGATCCACCATGAGAGACCAGACTCTCCTGGACCTAGAGATGTGTCCATGAAGAGTGACCAGTCTATGCCTCAGCCTATTACCTTCAAAGATGGAGAGCCTGATGATAGTCCAGAGTAAGAATTTAAAGCAAAAGTCATTTTTCTTTTTCTCTATTAAAACGCTTGAAATTCAACATAATTATCAACAAAGTTTTATCTTCTGAACATTCATCAGTGATTGTGTTTCTATTAGGATCCACCATCAGAGACCAGACTCTCCTGGATCTGGACCCAGCTGTTTGTCCTTGAAGAGTGACCGGTCTATGCCTCACCTTATAATGTTTGGAGATGGAGAGCATAGTGATGGACCAAGGTTTGAATTAAAGTTTTTTTTTTGTTCGCTTTTAAAACTTGAGAATTTCTCCATCATTCTCGGCTGCATTTTATTTCCTGCACATTGTAAAGGAGTTCTTGAAGCAAAGAACTGAACCACAAGGAGAACACAGCAGAGCTTCAAACTGATGTCAGACACTGAAGATGTATTGCACTTCTGACAGTCTGACACAATCACCACATTCAAAACTGTCCTGTTCGGATCAGCCTACTCACTTTAGTCCGGTTTGTTTATCAATGCTACTTCCTGTCCCCAGTCTGCTTTTCATTCATGTCATATCATTTTTCTTTAGCTAAATAATAAAACGGGTCCCACAGACCTGAACACCATACAAGGATTAATGATACTGCATACAGAGACGCTCCAGTGGAGTCTCATGTCAGCTGGACTTTGTATCTGAAATCCTCTCCTCTCCAAGTCAGTTCATTGTGGGTGTCCTTCAACACATTGAGACAACCTAACACCTATATGTTCAATATACAGTTTTTCTGGGTGAATCTGGGGCTGTGCAGCACGTGTTGGGGTCCCTGCATCCTGTCTAGGACTCCAGAATACCAGGATGTTCAACTGCAGCTGGTTGCATTTTGTAGTTTGTAAACCAGCATGCTTTTCTGGCTATTCTGACCCACAATCCTTTGCAGTGGATACGAAAGTGGGTAGTATGTCCCAATTGAATGCCTATTGCATGCAAGGGAACAGACTTTGTAACTGCAGTGGCAGGACTTATGAAAAAATAAAATAAAAAGTATATCATTTCCTAACCCTAATTTATATTGTAGTATTTATCTTTGTATTATTTATTATTTATACATATTTCCTATCTATTATTTTATAAATCTTCCTCATCTGGACTCTTTTATGAATTTTAAATGCATGGGTTTTATTGTTTATTATTATTATCACTACCTTTTTATATATGTTTCTTATATTTAATCTATTATTATTTATATTTTACATGTCACAGTTTATTCTATGTTTGCACTGTATTGCATGTTTTCTTATTTCATTAGGTTCCAAATGAGGAGGTTATATCTTTATCCTTTTTTATATATTATTAATCCCCGTTTCCTATTTAAACATTGCTTATAATATTTTATTTATATTTTAGTTATTACTTTCCATTGTATTGTAAATGGATGCTGGAGCCTCCCTCAGGGAAACACCCTGAAGTCAGCCCTTACTAAAGTATTTCTAAACATCATCCGAGGCGTGTCCCATGTCTCGCCTGCACCCCCCCTCTAGACCTCGGCCTGGGTTTAAACACTTTTAGGGACACTTGGTTGACTTTACTTTAAGATATGTTCCCTCCCCGTGTGTATTTTATAATTTATATTTTACATATTTGTTTTATATTTTACATATTTCAACATTTGTGTTGATGTGATTTTTTTCAGCACTTATTTTACTAAGCACTTTAATGTATTTATTTATCTTTTTTTTTTTCACACTAATTTTACCTGCATGCCGATTTTAAACAAAATCAACCTCGGTCCTTTTAGCCAGATGTTTTTAACCCACTCACCAGGTCTTTTACCAGATGTTGTGGGACACAGCCTCGGACACCCCACCAGGGGAGACCCCCTCGGGGGGGCAGGAGCTCTGTGCTGCAGCCGCTGCTCTCTTTCATCCCTTTTATTGCATTTTCTTTATTTCATTAAAACATTTTTAACACAGACCAAACAGGGCTTTTATAAACTTGTATTGGTTTTATTACAGGAATTTTTTTATAGGTTTTTAAACAAAAAATATTTACAGAGAGCCCGTGCACCACGCTGCGCTGCCCAAAACCCTAACCCTAACCCTAACTTCACAGCAGATATGCCGCTCGTCCATTAGCTTCTCTCATCCTTGATATTGCTGATAAACACACTTCATTGTAAATCTCCATAGATAAATACATTGTGTTTGATTTAGTATAAGCTCACACAGACTCCCTTCTTGTTCATTCCCAGATCCAGTGTGTGACAGAGAGGAAGGAGCAGTAATGAGCATGTTGTTGTGTTTGTGTTTAGGTTCGACACCACAACAGATCCACCAGGAATCTACATAGGACGTTTGAACCTGCCAACCTGCAAGATGGAAACCACTGATCCAAAGTTACTAGTTATCTTATCAATATTAACATATTCAAAAGTCAGCTTCATTTTCAGCAGAGTTTCAGTGCACCTTTGCATTCATCATGTTTTTGATTCTATCAGGATCCACCATGAGGGACCAGACTCTCCTGGACCCAGCTGTTTGTCTATGAAGAGTGACCGGTCTATGCCTCACCTTATAATGTTTAAAGATGGAGAGCATGATGATGGACCAAGGTATGAATTAAAGTTATTTTGTTGTTTTTAAAACTTTATTATTTCTCCATCATTCTCAGCTGCATTTTATTTGCTGCACATTGTAAAGGAATTCTTGAAGCAAAGAACTGAACCACAAGGAGAACACAGCAGAGCTTCAAACTGATGTCAGACACTGAAGATTTATTGCACTTCTGACAGTCTGACACAATCACCACCTTCAAAACTGTCCTGTTCGGATCAGCCTACTCACTTTAGTCCTCCGGTTTCTTTATCAATGCTACTTCCTGTCCCCCGTCTGCTTTTCATTCATGTCTCTTTCTCTGTCTACCCAGCCTGCATTTTATATTTAGCTGTTTTTACATGTTGAGTGTTTCTTTTATGCAGTGTAAAGTGTTCTCTCTGACTCATGGCATATATTGAGTCCTATCAGTATCTGAAGGAGAGAATGTTTACAACCTTTCTTTATGCATATTAAGAAGTAAGAAAGGGGTCATCTCTTAACCCAGCTGATGAAGAGAGCCTCAGGAAACAGTCGCCAGCAAATCTTCATACAATAGGGTGCCCAAACCCCAAGGCCTAATAACTGCTGTCTGTACAGACAAACAAGTTTAATCATTCTTTATTACACTTTTATCAGTGATTGTTTCTATAAGGATCCACCATCTGAGAGCAGTCCACTGCACATTACATTATTCTGAAAGGGTATTATACTTAGAACAATGAAATGACCATGTGCATATTTTTTTAAGCTGTATGTCCGGTTTGAATGAGGATCTTCAAACACAGCACATGTAACTCTTAGTTTCTGTCTTTGTTTTAAAATCCTCCTCTTTGCTCCACAGAGTTCATCAGCAGAGATCAGAGGGTCCTGGTGGTCCGTCTGCCCAGCAGCATCAAACTCACCTGGACTCCATATTTATGGTGAGTATGTGGCTCAATATCTTGAGTAAATAACTGTTTCATCCATACCACACCAACCCGTGAGAGCTGGGGTTAGAAGGAGTGAAATAAAAATAAACAATGAATGAAATCCATGTTTTTCAATAACCTATTAATGCCTCTAAAAGCTGTTCAATAGAGAGAGCTGACACATGTATACCATTAGTATGCTAACACACGAACACACACACCCTTCACAGCTTAACCCAACCCGGTATCACGGCAAGACGTGAAAATGTCACGTTGGTCCACGCTGGGAGACGTCAGGATGACACGGTTTCACCCCCTCAAAACGTCACACAGTTACATGGTATTGTTAACATGGCCCACCATTGGAGAAATACCCGGATGTTGACGAGCAAGCCTCTATCACGACCTTTGGTTCACTATGACACAACTTTTTGTGGAGAATACGAAGATTTGTTCAGGTCTCGCCAGGGAAATGTATATATACTACGTATGTTACTAAAAAGATTTTAGATTGGCCAGTGTCCATGTGAAGTTATCGTCATTTCTCGCCGTGAACACAGTATTTCTGGTGTCTGCGTTTCTATAGTAACGTGGTTGCTAGGGACGCAGCTCTTGCTGCATACACCCGGATATGAGTAATCTCGTCACTGTCGATTGATTTCACAGTGATATCTGCAGTACTCATCAACTACAAAATACCAGTGTGTCCTTGTTCATTACACAACATTCATTGGTTTTAATTGGTTACAATGCTCTTGTGTTTTTCTCCTTCGATTCTGAGAGACACATTTCTTTTTTCAGCGTTTTGGACAGCCGAAAACATCTAATTACCCATAATCCTCAGCTATCATTGAAGCTCGGTGATTGGATGTTTTAGCCGTAATGCACGTTGGGATATGGTGTTTATGCGATATGAAATCCGAAAACATTTTTAAAAAATCCGCGTGTTCTTGCTTTTCTCTTTGAAAGTCATCACATAATACACGGTTCGGCTGCATTAAATATAACACATCTGCCGTAGTTCTGATTTGAAGACATCTTCAATTTCTCTTCACACAATACGTCTCCTTGCAGTATCAACACTAATTTGGCTGACTTTCATAGTTGATCAAATCGTAGATAGGCTTTTAAAAACCCTTATCACCACACCTCTTTGCATACCAACAATAAACTACAAATATGATGTCGTTTTGCATCACTGTACAAAGCTGATGTAATGGGAGTTATAGTTTTTAAAGATATTATTAATAATCTTTTGATCAAAGAAGGTAAATACTGAGTTGAGTGAATGGTTAGGGGTTTCAGGTGATGGGAGACACATCTATGGAATCAGAATTGCAATATCTAACCGTTAAAAATATGTTTTTCTCCCTATTTTACAATCATATTAAGGCATTTTCTATAATTTAATTGTATTAATTTGTTACGAACAGTGAAGCATCAAGTCACACCTCGGTGCTGGATACCAAATGGTTAAAGTTCCATTCTATTCGGCATTCGGTATTTATCTCCTATTTAGAGTGTGTTGAGATCTTCATATTAGGTTGAATAATTAAAACGAAAGTTAGTTATAATCAAATATAATCAATTATATTCTTGTATAACCCACAATGAAAATGTTTCATATGTTATGATTTTCTATATTTACAGTATAAACAAAGTGGTTTGTTAAGTTGAGTGTAAGGCCTAAAAATGGTTTATGGGTGTCACTGATAAGGGGAGAGGCAGTTTCTTCCCTCTCCCCTCACAGCAGTACACAGGGAGGGGGGCTCCTGACTTAAGGAGAAATACATTGAGGCCCCAAAAAGGTGGTTATGTCATAGCCGAGAATAATATTTTGCAAGTCCTGCAGAGTAGGGGTCATGTCCTTTTTACACAAACATGGGAAGGTGTGTCTTATGCCATAGCCATAGAATATGTCTGGTCATGTCCAGTTCTTTACATCAGAGGCCATGCCCAGTTTCCACAAATATGGGTATGGAGGAGGTGTCTTTGGGTTTTTCTATCCTGTTTTTGAGCATAAAGACACTGGCGGATGAGGAGGAACTTTCTTTTTGGAGAGAGAGAGAGAGAGGTTCCCCTAGTATACTCTCTCCCGGTAAAGCTCTCTCCCTGAAGAGCTGGGTTTTTGCTCTCGGTAAGGTTCTCTCAAACTTGGTAAATATCTCTCGAATTTCTTTGTTGAAAGTGGAGTGAATTTCTGGGTTGAATGAGTGGAATGAATTGTTATGTGTTTGTGAGTATTAGTAACCGCCACCTGTGAGGATCTTCCTCCGAATACATGCGGGATATAGGTATGTGTTTGTGAATGTTAGTACCCGCCATCTGTGTCGGAAAAAAGGTATGGAATTGATGTGAATTGATTTGGTGAATTTTTCTTCAAATAAACTGATCCCACCTTTTGGATTGGGACAACTTGAAAGACATCTGCGCTCTCCTCTCCTGCTTGAGAGGTAAGATCGCACCCTGCCACACTCACACTTAGGTAGGGCCACACCTCATTTACTGATATCAAAATCCTTCGGGATCGCTTAAACAGATTTAGAAGGTCGTCTGAATTGAAACAGCAGTTAATTGAACCTGGTTCTTCAGGAGTTAATAGAGGTGAGATCTTGCTGACGTTGGTGGATCTGAGCCAAGCAGTAAACTTACATAGACTCAATAACTTCGGTTAGGTTAATTTACGGTCTGAGTAATTTGCCGGAATAAATGATCAGCCCTCCCGACTCTTACAAGTGTCACTGTGAAGTTAGCCGTTACTCTGAGGGGTCAGAGCCGTCTCCATGTCTGATTCACGTTACATTTTACTCTGTTCCAGGTGCTGGAGGACCACATCGTCACTTTTGTGAAGAACGAGTTGAAGAAGATCCAGACAGTCCTGACTTCAGATTACCCAGAATGCTTAGAGAGTCAGAGGGAGGATGAGGAGGTGTTGGACGGTGAGGATGAAGAGCAGAGGAGGAGCAGAGAGGCCTTTCTGAACATCTCACTGCACTTCCTGAGGAGCATGAAGCAGGAGGAGCTGGCTGAGCGTCTGCAGAGCAGTAAGAGGGTTTAACACATTTAACACGATGTAGAGGAGATGGAGGAAAGATGGGAGGAGGTTCACTTTATAAAACATAGTCTTTAATCAGTGAATACGCTTATTGGTTAGTACTGGTACTAAAACATTTGTGAAGGAAGTAACAATAAGGAGAACAAAACGTTGCACTGTAAATATTTTTGTTCTAGGTACATTACTAATAAACAAGCTAAACAGTTAAAGGTGTAGTAGGTAAGTTTGAGAAACCGGCTCGAGATACACTTTTTGTTATATTCCATGGAATGCTCTTAACATCCCGATAGCAATGAATATCTGAAGTGCTTTGACAAATAATCCATTAAAAAATGTCATCTGTGGAAGCCGTGGTACTGTAAAAAGCACGACCAATCATTTTAGCCAGCCCGGCTAAAATAACTGGATGGCCTACCTGCCTGTCAGCCTTCCATCTGTGCACAAACTTATCTTGTGCCCTCATTGGTCATGTGCGCGTTCGTGTGTGTTGGAGGAGGGGCTCTGTAAGGAAGTGGCAGATTTTCTCCGGTTGTGTATTTTCAAATTCTAGCGATCTCGAGCTGGTTTCTCAAACTTACCTACCCTACCTTTAACTATGATGATATGAAACTTGTGAACGTTAATGTTCGCAAAAAATCGGGTAACTTTAACGTGCTAATAATAGTGCAAATTAATCCCTTTACCAAATTTGATGTATTTTTTAGACGCTGACTGACATCTTACTTACTTTTTAATCACATTTCTTGTTTGTCCACTCAGGAACTGCTGCTGTAGTCTGCCGACGTAAACTCAAATCCACCCTGAAGGAGAGGTTCCAGTGTGTGTTTGAGGGCATTGCTAAAGCAGGAAACCCAACCCTTCTGAACCAGATCTACACAGAGCTCTACATCACAGAGGGGGGGTCTGCAGAGGTCAATGAGGAACATGAGGTCAGACAGATTGAAACAGCATCCAGGAAACCAGACAGACCAGAAACAACCATCAGACAAGAAGACCTCTTTAAAGCCTCACCTGCAAGAGATGCACCAATCAGAGCAGTGATGACAAAGGGCGTGGCTGGCATTGGGAAAACAGTCTTAACACAGAAGTTCACTCTGGACTGGGCTGAAGGCAAAGCCAACCAGGACATCCAGTTCACATTTCCATTCACCTTCAGAGAGCTGAATGTGGTGAGAGAGAACAAGTACAGCTTGGTGGAACTTGTTCATCACTTCTTCTCTGAAACCAGAGACGCAGGAATCTGCAGGTTTGATCAGTTCCCGGTTGTGTTCATCTTTGACGGTCTGGATGAGTGTCGACTTCCTCTGGACTTCCACAACACTGAGATCCTGACTGATGTCACAGAGTCCACCTCAGTGGATGTGCTGCTGACAAACCTCATCAGGGGGAAGCTGCTTCCCTCTGCTCGCCTCTGGATAACCACACGACCTGCAGCAGCCAATCAGATCCCTCCTGAGTGTGTGGACATGGTGACAGAGGTCCGAGGGTTCACTGACCCACAGAAGGAGGAGTACTTCAGGAAGAGATTCAGAGATCAGAAGCAGGCTGGCACCATCATCTCCCACATCAAGACCTCACGAAGCCTCCACATCATGTGCCACATTCCAGTCTTCTGCTGGATCTCTGCTACAGTTCTGGAGGACATGTTGAAAACCAGAGAGGGAGGACAGCTGCCCAAGACCCTGACTGAGATGTACATCCACTTCCTGGTGGTTCAGTCCAAAGTGAAGAACATCAAGTATGATGGAGGAGCTGAGACAGATCCACACTGGAGTCCAGAGAGCAGGAAGATGATGGAGTCTCTGGGAAAACTGGCTTTTGAGCAGCTGCAGAAAGGCAACCTGATCTTCTATGAGTCCGACCTGACAGAGTGTGGCATCGATATCAGAGCAGCCTCAGTGTACTCAGGAGTGTTCACACAGGTCTTTAGAGAGGAGAGAGGACTGTACCAGGACAAGGTGTTCTGCTTCGTCCATCTGAGCGTTCAGGAGTTTCTGGCTGCTCTTCATGTCCTTCTGAGCTTCATCAACTCTGGAGTCAACCTGATGGCAGAAGAACCAACAACCTCCAGGCGGCCTAAAGTCTTCAGAGTCAAACCTAAACTAACAAATCTCTACCAGAGTGCTGTGGACCAGGCCTTACAGAGTCCAAACGGACACCTGGACTTGTTCCTCCGCTTCCTCTTTGGTCTTTCACTGCAGACCAATCAGAAACACTTACGAGGCCTGCTTACACAGACAAAAAGTGACCCAGAGAAAAATCAACAAACAGTCCAGTACATCAAGAAGAAGATGGATGAGGATCTGTCTGCAGAGAGAAGCATCAACCTGTTCCACTGTCTGAATGAACTGAATGATCGTTCTCTAGTGGAGCAGATCCAACAGTCCCTGAGTTCAGGAAGTCTCTCCACAGAGAGTCTCTCTCCTGCTCAGTGGTCAGCTCTGGTCTTCATCTTACTGTCATCAGAAGAAGATCTGGAAGAGTTGGACCTGAAGAAATACTCTGCTTCAGAGGAGGCTCTTCTGAGGCTGCTGCCAGTGGTCAAAGCCTCCAGGAAAGCTGTGTATGTGGAACAAAATAAAGAAAACAAACACTATTAAACATATTCATTTTTTATGGATGAGATATAATACTTATCTTTTTTTAATTAAAAAAAATCCTTCAGGCTGAGCGGCTGTAACCTGTCAGAGAGAAGCTGTGAAGCTCTGTCCTCAGTCCTCAGCTCCCAGTCCTCTAGTCTGAGAGATCTGGACCTGAGTAACAATGACCTGCAGGATTCAGGAGTGAAGCTGCTGTCGGCTGGACTAGAGAGGCCACACTGTTATATGGAAACTCTCAGGTAAATATTCAAACTTAAAAGTTTACAAAGTAAGCTTTTATAGGCTTAATGTATTTCACAACTAAATGTACTTATGTTGCGTCGGCAGGCCTGTATTAATCTCTGACTATTAATCAGACCTCCTGATTGATCAGAGGCTATTGAGTCTTTGCAAGTTTATTTAATAATATAAGTAGTCTGATAACAGTGGAGGACAAAATAAATAGACTCTCAGGAGTGTTTGTGCCAGGGGCCAGGGCCAGGGGACATGACACCCCCTTATGAGAAATGGTCAGATATTATTGGGAAATCCCAAAAAATCTCCGGTGGGAGTTGAAGAAAGCGGTTGCAAAACGCTCGTCCAAGAATATGACTGACCTGGAGGCATTTGCCCATGAGGAATGGGCACATTCTGCAGTCCTCCACTCTCAGGACAGTTCCGGTGTAGGCTCCACTCTCAGGACACCTCCACTCTCAGTACAGGAAGTGACGATTCTGACGAACACCTTTTTATTCCCCGCCCCCCGAAGGACTCGTCTGATGGAAGTTTTCAAATCACAATGGAGACTCATCACGGAGGTGATGATTCCGCTCACCATGCACTTTGGGTCGGCCTTGGTCAAGCCCTTTTGACCCTCCCAGCCTGGTTCTCGTAAAAGTTGACTTAGCCATTTTTCGCTCAAATGACATCATGGAGGAATGTAACGGGAGTTGACAGGGGACTCTGCCCGCCTCACGAGTGCCTATTTTTGGACACTTCTTTTCACTTTTCCCCCTATTTTCCTCGTTTCTTTAATTTTTTGGCTATTTCACCCGGTTTTTTCTACCGGGGACACTGCCCGGTCTCGGGTGTCCCCCCATGGCCTGTTAACAACCGTTCCACCCCCCACTCATCCATATATTAACGGATTTTGACAATTGTTGTTGCATTTTTCTCCTCTCCTCTCACTGATCGAATGGCAAACACGACCCACCATCGGAGGGCCTCTGCCGGCCCGGCCTAGTGCCGGACGTGCTCTGGCGGTCGGTTCCTCCGAACTGCGGGTTCGACTCTGATGGCCGGCAGGGTTTGCTGCGTTGGGTTGGGGGACTTCCCCCACTCTGCATGTCTCTTCCTTCCCGGGCCGGCCGATATGAAGCGTGACCAAGACGCACCGTCTGACTCAGGGGTCCGGGTCCCGCAGCGGGGTGGAGGTTCCGAGCTGGAACCGGCAAACACGGTTGTTTCTCGAACCCTCCACTGTTGTCTAGCGGCGGGTGTAACTAAAATACAAGATGACGTTATTTGTATATATAAATATATATAAATATATATAGATCTATCTATATATATATATATATATATATATATATATGTGTCAGTGCGATTTTATTTTGTATTAGCGTGCATTTCCTGTTCAGAAAGGGGCGCTGTACTGAGACTAAACATTACAAGGTGTCCCTATTTCCCCCACCCCAACGCAGCACACCCTCCCGGCCATCAGAGTCGTACCCGCAGTTCGGAGGAACCGACCGCCAGAGCACCGGCACTAGGCCGGGCCGGCGGAGGCCCTCCGATGGTGGGTCGCGTGTGCCATTCGATCAGTGAGAGGAGAGGAGAAAAATGCAACAACAATTGTCAAAATCCGTTAATATATGGATGAGTGGGGGGGGGAAACGGCTGGACACAGGCCGTGGGGGGACACCCGAGACCGGGCTGTGTCCCCGGTAGAAAGAACCGGGTGAAATAGCCAAAATAATTCAAATTAATAGAACCGGGGAAAATAGGGGAAAATAGGCACTCGTGAGGCGGGCAGAGTCCCCTGTCAACTCCCGTTACATTCCTCCATGATGTCATTTGAGCGAAAAATGGCTAAGTCTACTTTTACGAGAACCAGGCTGGGAGGGTCAAAAGGTCTTGACCAAGGCCGACCCAAAGTGCATGGTGAGCAGAATCATCACCTCCGTGATGAGTCTCCATTGTGATTTGAAAACTTCAATCAGACGAGTCTTTCGGGGGGCGGGGAAAAAAGCGTGTTCGTCAGAATCGTCACTTCCTGTACTGAGAGTGGAGGTGTCCTGAGAGTGGAGCCTACACCGGAACTGTCCTGAGAGTGGAGGCCTGCAGGCAGGCTCCCATGGAGGAATGGGCTAAGATTCCTCAGGAATGCTGTCAAAAGCTGGTATCTGGCAATGCATCACATTTTCAGCGGGTCATAACAGCAAAAGGGTTCCCTTGTCGTGAAGGTGTTCAATCACTTTGAGACTGCAGTAGTGTTAGGGTTGACCAGCGCAGGGTGGACCCAAGAGCAGACAGACGAATGTTTTAATAACCTTTTATCAAGGCCCCTTGATAAAAGCAACACAGCCAAATACTCTTTCCCTCTGATCTCAAAAAGAACCCACAAAACCCCAACAGAAAACCAGAACTCAAATACACACATGCCCATTCAAGATGACAAGACACAGCTGGGGAGGGGAGGGAAAACACAAAGAAAACAGAAAACAAACAGATCCTAATAAGTAGTAATGAAAAGTAGCAATAGGCACTTACACACCAAGTACTTTTCCCAGGAATAGGTCCCGGAACTTTTCCCAGGAATAGTTCCTGTTTTTTTTAGTCCCGGAACTGTCCTAGTAGATCGCATTCACACCGGAATAAGACCCTGAGGGAGGATTACGCAAATGAAGCCGCTAACGTAACTTCTTCTTCTTCTTCTGCTTTGGGTTTACTGGCAGGCCGCAAACAACTTCACGGCATATACTGACACCCGAAGTCCCCGGCCGGAAGTACCCGGAGTTGGGGACTGGCTTCAGTAGAAGCTGCTGGGACTCCCAGCAGCGTCTACTGAAGCCTTCCGAGTAAATCGCCAGAATGCCGACACCTCCTCATCACTCCACCGCTCCCATGTTTTCTTTTGTGTTGCCATAAGTTAGTCTCTCTCCGTTGGTGCGCTGGGCTAATGCTAATGCTAATAATGCTAATGCCAGCAAATACAATGGCGGCTTCAAAAAACTTTTCGGAGTTTTAAGGGAAAAGTATGGGAAAAGTACTCCGGTGTGAAAGCGCCTATTGTCTGTTGAATTAGGATAAAAATCCTGGTAATATTAGTTTCATTGAACTACTTAAACAGTTCTCGAGTAATTTGTTTATTAAACCTAATGTGCAGTGGGTGTTGAATAATTTCGATTGCAACTGTATGTACAAACAGTTAGGACTTTATTTTAAACTTCTATTTCTATTTATTTTGTGGTTCGTGTTTAAGCTGTGAATCAGCTGTTCCACTCCACTGCACCCTTAACTCTCCAGCAGCAACTCAAAATTGATCCTTCATCACTCTGAAAGAGCACTTTGAATGTTAACTCAAACTTTAGGTTAAATGGGCAAACCGTAAAAGGTGACCATAACTTGAGTCAGCTGTGTGTGTGTGTGTGTGTGTGTGTGTGTGTGTGTGTGTGTGTGTGTGTGTGTGTGTGTGTGTGTGTGTGTGTGTGTGTGTGTGTGTGTGTGTGTGTGTGTGTGTGTGTGTGTGTGTGTGTTCAGTCTGTCAGGCTGTCTGGTCACACAGGAAGGCTGTGTTTCTCTGGCCTCAGCTCTGAGCTCCAACCCCTCCCATCTGAGAAAGCTGGACCTGAGCTACAATCATCCAGGAGACTCAGGAGAGAAACTGCTCTCTGATGGGGTGGAGGATCCACTCTGGAGACTGGACACTCTGAGGTATGGACCGACCACACAATGCAGGTGCCTTTAAATTCATATCCTATTGTACTAGTCCGTCATCATGATGGACATCTTGTTTCTTATAGTTATTCAGCATGAGTTAGGTAACACATTGATCCCTTAAAGTCGTATCAAATGGAAACATTTATTAAAAACATAAAAATAAAGCAAAATCATATTCATCACTAAAAGCAATGAGAGTGTAGGGATGGTAATTCCAGTAGTCTACCACTATGGTCCTGATATCTAAACAACTACTGAATATGTTGAGATTAAATTCAGTTTGGACATTAACCTGTTAAGCCCGAGAGACCCCGGTACCGGGGCACTGCTGCAACATCTTGCAGGAAACAGTGTCTGAGGGCATGTTCATTTAATAAAACTATGAATTTTTTATATCCATGTAATGGGAAGAAACTCATCTAACTGATCTTTTTTTTGTTTTTTTCAAAAGAAAACCCACAATGCTAACACTGAGCCTCTGAATTAGCAACGAGCGAAAAATGCTAACAGATTACTGCACCGAAAATCACTCACAAAACCTTATTATTTATCTTTACTCTATATCCATGACATGGTTTCACATCGTGAGGTGACACAGAATCGATGGGTACCCTCATTATCACTGAATTATACAAAATGGCGACGTTATAAGCAAAAACGGACATCAAAACAGGTGACGCTAGGTAGCTAAAAATGCTAACATTTTTACCTTGGCTCTGTAGTCTCTCCAAAGTGGTCTTCAATGGCATTAAAACGATAAAAACGCTGCTGAAGTTAATCCATAGGTTCATCTAATGTGTCTGTGTCCCTTTGAAATGATTTCTGATAATCCATGAGCAAACAGACGGATAATCCATGCTTTTAGGTTTCTAGATGTCAGAGCAGGGTTGCGGTCGAATACTCCAAAAAATCAGCTCCTAAATTCTAACCCTATCGTCTATCCCTTGACCTCTGAGTGAAACGTCATGGGGTTAAGGGATAGTGAATAGGAGAATTCAAAAGGATTTAGGAGAAGAGACTGCGGTACTTAGAGAATCCGACTGCACTTTCACTATCCGACGTGTTTATGATGTGCCAGCGGAGGTCATAAATGTGCGCCTGCTGCTGTGGGGAAACTATGGAAACTACAGTTTTCTATACAGCGGACTACAACATGGATGTTTAATAAGAACGAGGGACTACTGTAAACTCATCTAGAGACTCTGCACCGTGCTCTGATGCTGTTGTTTTATGCTTTATGAACGGGGACAACAGAGAAACATATTCTTCATGACCACAGTTGGAATTGAAATAAAAAACTTATGCTCGTCACCCTCTCCCTCCGGTCCACATTAATACAAATGATCCCAATACGTATGATTGTATGAAAAGATCTTAAAATCAATACAAATGTATTTATTATAAACGTTAGTCCTTAACATCTATCACTGTGTATATCACCATTCAAACATCTTTTAAAAGTTGAACAAACCCCACACAGCTCAGTAAAGACTGTGAAATGTTGACTTTATTTGATCATTTCAGTAAAAACTAACGTTCATATTTATCTTTTTGATTATAATACTGATGAACGTTCAAAACAAAGCACTTTGGCAACTAACCACATACGTTTTAAAATGCTTAATAAGCACCGTAACTTTCATGATATCATTTCTCGTTCATAATCGGTTGTTTCCGTGAACGGCCGACTGTTGTGTGACGGCAAATGCCGCGGCCGCAAGGCATTGTGGGGCAGCATTTTCTCCTCTCCTTTCGGTTAGGGAGGTCCAGTGGTTCATAAGCTAAAGGAGGTTATAAAGGAAGTTTGAAACCTCCTTTCCTTTTAATTTAGAGAATTCGAACGGCACTTATCATGGCTGCCACTGAGGGACTTCCGGGTCATTTCACTCCGTTAGGAAGGTTCCTAAGCTAAATGGACTATTCGACCGCAACCCTAGACTGTAGCTTCACTCTAATGCAAAACTGCATGCGCAAAGCCCCCACCTTTTTCTTTCACAATGAGTGTGTGTGGGGGACTCCCCCTTCGATTATATTGGCTCTAACGGTCAGAAAGAGGTGTCAACCATCAAAATCGACCAATGGGTTCCAGAGATATGAAAAAAAAACAATTTCCACCCAAATCACCTCAGAGGTGGAGTGTTTTTGGCTAAATCTCTCTAAAAAGGTCAAATTTCACTTGTTTTGCATCAATCTTGATACAGGGTACTTATTATATGTTGTACTTTGGATTCATAAAGCTTTTAGTCTACTAACTCATCATCCAAGGGTAGTTTTCACTATAAGTAAAAAAGAATTTTTGGACGGACACTATAATTTACAGTTTTTTACTATGTAAAATCTGAATTTTCTTTAAAATAAAAAACATCTATATTGATTCTGACTTTTCTAAATCCAACTCACAGGTTTATCATTACTTTGAGAAAAAAGATTATTAATTTAACCCTTTTAGAAGGGAAGATATGGTCATTTGTTCTGGGAATGTCATTTTCGAGCCTGAGACCTGAAAAACAGGCTCAGGGTTTAACAGGTTAATGGTGTCTAGAAGATTCCTCCTTGAACACTTCAGAATTTCATTCTAGCACCACCCGTAGGTGAAAATCTGCGTAGTATAGGGAAATATCTCAACAACTTTTGATAGATTGTGATTACATTCACAACACCCAAGAGAACACTTGTTCTTGTTACTTATAATATATTTTAATGCAGATTCATACTAGATTCCTGTGTCCCCCAATTCAGAACATAAGAATTGGGAGCCAACCTCCTTGCTACGATTACACCCATATTCAGTTAGATTTTGATCTTCCACAAACACATAGTCAGGAATAAAAACACCTGGCAAAGATCTCAAACCTTCTCTTATGTAGTTCCTGCTACCAGTGGGGCAACATAACTAAGTAGATTTACTCAAGTACTTAACTTAAGTACACTTTAGAGGTACTTTTACTTTCCTTGAGTATTTCCATTTTTTGCTGCTTTGTATTTCGACTCCACTAGAATCCAGAGGTACATGGATTTAATACCTTCAGTTACTTTACAGATTTTGATTAATGATGTGAAATATAATCAAGTCTTAAATCAGACTTTAGTTCCACCTGGAACAAGTACAAGATCTGAGTATTTCTACTTTTACTCAAGTACGAGATCTGAGTACTTCTCCCTCTGGCTGCTCTTAGCACCATTGTCTGATAACTTTAAATTATCTTTGCAATACAGTTCTTTAACTGATGGTGAAGAAATGTAGGTTCTATTTCATCCTTACTGACCACTAGAGGCAGTGCTTTGCACTGGATATCTTCTGTCTCGCGCCACACGTCAGTCTGAACAGCTCTTTCTCTGTTACGGTGATCCTAGAAAGGGCTGTGCGCTCTCAAAGCAGTGCTTGTCCCACTGGATCGTGGACTTCATTGCCCAGGCATACAAGGCGAGTGACCGTCACTTGCCACCCAGAGTAAAGTGCCACTCTACCAGTGTTTTATCTTTTTATTTAGCGATTTGTTTTTGCACTGGGAATGTTTTCATGTGGAACCGGAAGTACGTCACTTCACTCTTCTTCGTCCCTTTTACGTTCCAGACAATGCATGGCTCAGCGTAACAGACAGAACAGCGACCCCAGGTGTGTCTACATTGGAATTACATCTTCATTACTGAAGGAAAAATACTTTACCCAGTGTTTGTTAACTGGGTTTTTAATGCAGTTGGCTTTTCTTAATGGTTACAATATTGCTATGAGTTACAGTATATCTGAAGCAAATTATGTTTCTGAAGATGTGTAGTCAATTCCACCCTTCAATGTAGCATAAATGTGAACTCTCATTACAGGAACAATACCGGAAACAGATGTAGGAAAGATCCTCAGCTTGCTGATTGGATGTTTTAGCCGCAATGCACGTTGGGAGATCGTGTTTAAGCAATGTGAAATCCGAAAACATTTAAAAATAAAATAATACTTTATTCCGAGTGTGCTTGCTTTTCTCTTTGGAAGTCATCACATAACGGCATTGTAATACACGGTTCGGCTGCATTAAATATTACACATCTGCCGTAGTTCTGTATTTATAGAGCCCTGATGAGAAGACTTCTGGACAAACAGGAAGAACTGCCGCCGAAACTGAATACATGACGTGGATCATAAATATATTAACAATTACACAATATCTTACATTTATTTTCACAAAACACGTCTCCTCGCAGTATCAATAGTAATTCGGCTGACTTTTATATTTGATCCAATTGGTAGATAGGTTATATTTACACCATAACGGTGCACAGCTGATAGAAAAGGACTTGTAGTTTTTAAAGATATTACTGATTTTCTTTGAATATAAGAATGTTAATACTGAGTTGAGAGAATAGGTGATGGGAGACACATCTCTGGAATCACAATTTCAATAGCTTACCATTAAATGACGGATATACCTTTCTGTCTGTGATGTTTTACAAATCAGATATTAAAGGGGACCTATCATTCAAAATGCACTTTTGTACGTCTTTTATACATGAATATGTGTCCCCGTTGTTCCAGGGAACTCACCAAGTGTCAGAAAACACAACCCTCTCTATTTTCCTCCATCCCCAAATCTCTAAAAAAGGGGGTGCAACGGATCTGATACAGACTGGCTATGACGTCACAGAAGTGGCGCTACGGCTATTGGGCCAACTCTCCACCTATCAGGAGAATGTGGGGTTGGGCCACGGCCGGCCATTGCCGCTCGAAAGCGCTGGAGACGCTGTAGTACATATGCCAGGCCTGTAAGTGGCGCTGTAGTCTGCCACAAAAGCAGCGAAGAAGACTTCCCGCCCATAGTTACCATGGTTACCCTTCTGTTTATTCTCCGCTGTGGCTTTCTTTCTCCCTCCCCGAGGCAAGCGTTTGCTCCCGCTGCTTTAATTCAATGCAATCCCTCCCCGTCGAGGCAAGCACTGTAATTCTCTCCGGTTAGTCCACCAGCAGATGACAAACACCCACCTCTCCGCCTCTTCCAAGGAACGAGGGGACCGTGCGGCAGAGTTTCAGTTTCAGTTTCTTTCGCTGGTCAAGATGTCCGTTAAAGTTGAAATCTTCCGGACAAAATTAGAAAAGTGCCGGTCAAAGGTCTTCTTTGTTATTTATTGAGCTTTAAAACAAATGAATAACGACTCTATATAATAAAACACGGAGGACGGAGATCTCTTTTTCTCCCCCTCTTGACTTCATCAGAGCACGGCTTCCCTCTCCTGCAGGGGGGTGTGGTCAGCTGCAGCTCACAGAGATCAGCCCCGTAGACAGCAAACAGCACATAGAGCGAAATGAGGCATGGCTAAAATGCATGATCTGTTTGGTATTTTGAAAACAGAAACGTATAAATAGACCTGTGGCTCATCATCCGGATTACACTAATCACCTTCACCTGCATATATACCCGGGTCCTCCATCCAGTATTCACCAGTTTGTCGTTTCACCACGCTGTATCCATCTGCATACTCCTCTGCCTGCCACGTCCAGCCTCCGACTCCTCGTCTGAGTTCCCTCCGTGCTTCCACGCACACCAGCTCGATCCTGTCAACTCTCGCCAGCTCTGGATCCCCGGCTCACCTCGCCGGTGTTCCCTCCGTGCATCTCCGCATCTCCGCTGGTGACAAAACCCTGGCCCGGATTAAGTGGACATTTAATCCCTCTGTTATTTTCCAAAGGGTTTTTTGTCCTCTTCCTGGTGTTCAGCATTTGGAGTTCAGTCCTGTAGGCTCGTGAGAGCGTAACAAATATAGCATGATAGGTGTCCTTTAATATGTAGAAGTAAAACATGAGAAATAGTATAGCAATATCCTGTACAATTATGTAAAAACATGAATAAAACTACACATCTTCAGATGTTATACATACATAAGTGTCCTACACTAATAATACAAGTTATTATTAGTATACTGTGTGTACCTTGTGTGCACCGCCTAGTGGTTAAAGCACGTTATTGAATTATTTTTGTTGAATAATGTTATTTTTGTTGAATAATGTTATTTGATGAAAAAAAATGAAGAGTACATACTTTCATAGGGGTAAAGTAGAAGGTCAATGATATAAATATAGAATATAAAAAATCAAGAAGATACTGTAAGTGATCTCTACAATAAAACAGTTTAGTGCTGGATGTATAAAGATATTAATATGAGGATGTGCAAAACAGACAAACTAATTAACCTTTATTAACACATTAAAGAATGCTTTAGGTTAAGGTCTTCTTTTAAATAAGAAAACAGCTTTGGGGGTATCTACAGATAAATATTAAGCCTGACAAAGTACTTAACGTCTAATATATTGCTTTCCTGCAATGTTAACTATGTTGAAGCACTTATTTTAACTGATATTATACACATTAATTATACTCTTATGTATGTAGATAGAATAAGAAATGTGCAGAATTTGACAGTTTAATGGTGGAGGTACACACACATTGATAGATGTCTTGTAATGCACTGTTGAGGAACCTGTGACCCAAGGTTTTCATTCATTGCATAACTACACCGTAGTTGTGTATATGATATGTCAATAAACCTTAGAAAATCTTGAAATCTTGAAAGGGATGTGCAAAATAGCCATTATATACAGTTTTTAATTAACTATTAGTAGAGAATAACGAGTAATGAATATACTTTATAGGGATCTGCAGATAAATGTTTAGTCTTCTCAAGCACCAATTATCAAATATCTCTCCTGATTGTTGGCACTTGACAATCACTTTCCCTGAATTTTACTCAGGTGTAACTAAAGTCTGATTTAAGGGTTGTTTATATTTCACATCATTAATCAGAATCTGCAAAGTAACTAAAATAAATGTAGTGGAGTAAAAATACCAGGTTAACCTTAAAGAAAGCCCTCAGGATTATAAAAGACCCCCATCACCCCAGCCACAAACTGTTCTGTCTGCTGCCGTCTGGCAGGCGGTACCGCAGCATCCGGACTAAAACCACCAGACTCAGGGACAGTTTCATCCCACAGGCCAGAAGACTATTAAACACCTGAACTTAGAAACAACATCCATAACATTCATCTGGCTGCTACTTAGAAATTATTGATCTAATATATCATATTCCAATCACTTGTATATAGACTCTTATTGCACTATTTCACTTTTTACTATTTTTCTTTTTGTATTTACTTGCACAATTTTTTCTGTGTATCTGTTTTATTGTGTTGCACTGTTGGAGGAGCCTGTGACCTAAGGGGGAGGGGGGGGGGGGGGTAGGACACGTTCGATTCCTGTTTTGAACAGTGTGCCGTCGATGGGTTTCATTCCATTTCAAACTGCTGTTTGACGCTCTGTGTAAACTTTGCGCACTGCCACTACAACATCCAATCACAGAGCTTGAAGACTAATCACGGGGTTTGTCAAGCAAAGCACATGGTGTAGTCCCAAACGATAGCTCAGGATTCTGGGTAGTGTAGTGTCTTCCGGGTGTAAAATCCTCCGTTATCCAATGGGAATGGACACTCACATTGCCTTTGAGACTGTGTTGAAATTATACCCTCGCCTACTGATTTTAATTTAACCATATATCGAGCCCGATCGTTGATTTCAAATGTGTGCTCTAAAATGATATTTATAAATGACTATTATCATTATTATAAGCAAGACAATACATGGCAAAGATATGTAGAAAATAACCGTATTTAAGATACGTTCATAACAAACGTAACGTGGGAGAAAATACGTTTCTAGCTAAACGTAATTGAGAATGCAGTTTAGTTCTGTGGGAATGTAATTTTTAGGAGACAGGGTTGCTCCACGTCATGAGCGACCTTGAGAGGTGTGCCCCTGGAGGACATATTTCCCGCAGCCACATGGGCATCCCCAAGCACATTCGCCAGATACTACAGAGTGAATGTTGCCGCCCCTCACCCGTTGGGTGTGGTCGTCCTGCAGAGTCCACCTAGTCCATCCCTATAAGGTAAGTACTCAGGCTTCCTAGTGACTCTGTTGATGTCAGTCATCCAGTCCTCTGGTGGTCAGTAAGGATGAAATAGAACGAAAGTTACGTATGTAACAACGGTTCTATGAATCCTGGATAACCACCAGAGTTCTTGGTCACTCTGAATCTTGTGTTCCCGTGAGAAGTTTCCATAGGACTGAAGTCGATGACAACACCGGAACTTATACCTTCTGGGGTCATACAAGGTCACATGTGACTTTGTTGACATAAATACTCAACCTGCGCATGCACGAGACAGAAGATATAGAGTGCTAAGCACTGCCTCTGGCGGTCAACCAGGATTCATAGAACTGTGGTTACATACGTAACTTTCGTTTTAATAATCAAACCCAAAATCAAACACATTTGTCTCATATTCTCTGTAATGTTCTGATATTTCTTAGGACCCCAAAGCAGACACTTACTCTAGGAGAGTTATGGGTGTTTTATAAAGAAAGCAAACAAAAGGAGCTGTCTCGTTAGTCCCCAGGAAGCAGAGAGAGTTGTCACAGGCAAAACACAAACATTTGGCTCAAAGTTATGGAACAAGTTGATGAGGTGAGTGGAAACAGGTGTGCCTCGTCTGCAGCCACACCCTCTGCCACACTCCGGCCCTGCAGAGGAAGAAAACAGAGGAGGGGGGAGAAAGAGCAAGCATAAAACAAACAACAAAAAACTGTGCAGAAACATAACTTTCTCTCCAATATACTTATTCTTTTTGTATTCCCTTTCTATTGCTTGTTCTTGTTCTTCATGTTATTTACATCCTTCTTCCTTGTGTCTTTTTCCCACCGAGAAATTATGGATAAAAAATGATTCTGACTGTGTTTCTTCCTCCAGGGTGGACCATGGTGGAGAGCAGAGGTTAAAACCAGGTCTGATGAAATGTAAGTAAACAGTAAACAAACAAAGAATAAAGCGTTCAGGGGGTTCAACAGAGCCAGGGTTTCTTTGCCTTATCTCGCTCGACAAAACTAATACTCCCAATCAACTCAGGTTATCCTCTTCAGGCTCTGTGGGCGTTCGCATATAAAGAGGCAGCCTTATAAGAAAAATACATCACGGCAGGATAGGCTATATATTTAATATACTGCTCGATGCAATCTGTGCCTCCTGTTTATTTCTAATTTCACGACATTGTACAGCATGTGAACTTTAAACGTAATGCAACGGATTTAAACAATATACTATTGTATTTAGATCGGACACTGGCAGGATACTGGAAAATCAATTAGGTTTTCAATAAATCAAAGTGAAATGTATTGTTTGAATGTCAAATGTGATAAATACCAATAGACTTATCAATTTTCTTATCGGCTGCAATATATCAGCAGTGTAAAACAGACAATCGTGACGAGTCAAATAAATGTATCCCAAAGGGGTGAAATTACAGTCTGAAGGAATTATACTGCATATATGTAAGTACAATTCATTCTTACAAATAATACAGGAAATTATAAATGTATGCAAACTGCAAATGTAAAGGTTTATTTTACAGCCAGTGACCCTATTCAAAAAAAGGTATTAAACTGCGGTATGTGCTGATTTCAGACCTATACTCTGAACATAACCTGTAGTGTTAGGCTCAACATACCTCACTAACGCTATAATCTGGCTTTGTAGTACACCATCCAGATGTGTCTGATGATAAACTGCTGCTGCTGTGTCTCTCATCAGATTCCTGTGAACTCACACTGGACACAAACACAGCACACAGAGAACTAAAACTGTCTGACAACAACAGGGAGGTGACATATGTGGTGGAGGAGGAGCAGCCATATCCTGATCATCCAAAGAGATTTAACTATTGGCCTCAGCTGATGTGCAGAGAAGCTCTGACTGATCACTGTTACTGGGAGGTCGAGTGGAGAGGAGGGGTTAACATAGCAGTGACTTACAGAGGAATCAGCAGGAGAGGAGACAGAGAAGAATCTGTGTTTGGATGGAATGATCAGTCCTGGAGTCTGAGTCATGATGGTGGTTACTCTGTCTGGCACAATAAGAGAACAACAGTCCTGCCTCCCTCCTCCCCCCCCTCCTCCTCCTCCCCCTCCTCCTCCTCCTCCTCCTCCTCCTCATCCTCCTCCCCCTCTGGTAGAGTAGCAGTGTATCTGGATCATCCTGCTGGCTCTCTGTCCTTCTACAGAGTCTCCTCTGACACACTGATCCACCTCCACACCTTCAGAACCACATTCACTGAACCTCTGTATGCTGGGTTTGGGTTCTGGTCACATGACTCCTCAGTGTCTCTGTGTTATCTGTAGGAGGAGACCACTTCCAGAAATCTTCAGTGATCCACGTCTCCTCTCACTGTGTTCCTCCTCATGTTGATTGATGAGATATAATGAGGCTAAATTAATCTCATAAATTCATGGGATTTATGTTACAATACTACAGATACATTTGAGTGTGAACCCTCATTCCTTCTTTCTGTGTCTACGTGCATACACAATATATCGATGCACAACCATGTGTTTATGTTACCAAACTTATTTTTTAATGAAATTGTAAAATAGTTGTAATCTTTGAATATTATTTTCTCTAGACTTCTTCTTTCAATTGTATTGAATGAATGTTTTAAATGTATTCATGTGATTTGATAATGTGTTTATTTTGCATATTGTCTGAATCCTTTGAATGTTTTCGTAAAGCACCTTGAATTGCCTTGTTGTTGAAATGTGATGTAAAGTTAAACTTAACTTTCCTTTGCTGGCAGAAATTATACGTATCTTCCTAAAAATAGTGAAATGATCTCCTTGGTGTTGAGCTAGTTGTGTACTAACCAATGTGACTTATATGCATCTTAAAGGAGAGGTGTCATGGCCATTTCCACTGATCATAATTCCATTGTTGGGGTCTACTAAAATAGATGTATATTGTGCATCTCTCCAAACTCACATTGGTTTCTCAAACAGCATCTCTCCAAACTCACATTGGTTTCTCAAACAGCATCTCTCCAAACTCACATTGGTTTCTCATGCAGCATCTCTCCAAACTCACATTGGTTTCTCAAACAGCATCTCTCCAAACTCACATTGGTTTCTCAAACAGCATCTCTCCAAACTCACATTGGTTTCTCATACAGCATCTCTCCAAACTCACATTGGTTTCTCAAACAGCATCTCTCCAAACTCACATTGGTTTCTCATACAGCATCTCTCCAAACTCACATTGGTTTCTCATACAGCATCTCTCCAAACTCACATTGGTTTCTCAAACAGCATCTCTCCAAACTCACATTGGTTTCTCATACAGCATCTCTCCAAACTCACATTGGTTTCTCATACAGCATCTCTCCAAACTCACATTGGTTTCTCAAACAGCATCTCTCCAAACTCACGTTGGTTTCTCATACAGCATCTCTCCAAACTCACATTGGTTTCTCATACAGCATCTCTCCAAACTCACATTGGTTTCTCATACAGCATCTCTCCAAACTCACATTGGTTTCTCATACAGCATCTCTCCAAACTCACGTTGGTTTCTCTTACAGCATCTCTCCAAACTCACATTGGTTTCTCATACAGCATCTCTCCAAACTCACATTGGTTTCTCATACAGCATCTCTCCAAACTCACATTGGTTTCTCAAACAGCATCTCTCCAAACTCACATTGGTTTCTCATACAGCATCTCTCCAAACTCACATTGGTTTCTCAAACAGCATCTCTCCAAACTCACATTGGTTTCTCAAACAGCATCTCTCCAAACTCACATTGGTTTCTCATACAACATCTCTCCAAACTCACATTGGTTTCTCAAACAGCATCTCTCCAAACTCACATTGGTTTCTCAAACAGCATCTCTCCAAACTCACATTGGTTTCTCAAACAGCATCTCTGTAAACTACGTGTATTCACTGAATTTCACTCTCTGCCTTTAACGGCTCGTTGTAGCTCCAATAGCTCCAGCCCCCACCCTCCCTGTGAGCACAGTGTGCTCTGATTGGTCGGGACGTTGTGAATCGCGCTGAGCTCCGTGGAGGTATTGTTTCCTTGTTAGCGATACACAGCCAAACTCATCCTGAGCACACACAAAGTCACAGCCGAAGTAAAAACAATAAGTGTGGCTTGATATTGAGTAAGAAAAAGGTTGATAAACGCTGTGAGAATGGGTCTGCAGAGAGAATGGGTCTGCAGAGAGAATGGGTCTGCAGAGAGAATTTCTCCGTGATCCCAACTGTCTGTTATCAGCCTGCAGCCAGGGAGGAGAAATCAGCAGAGCTGCCTGCTCCCTGCACACAGATGTGTGTGTGAGGAAGTCCGTGGATTGGTCAATTTGGACCAATCAGCGGGGGCTTAACGTAACGGCTCCGCGTACGTAACGTAACGGCTCCACGGATTGGTCCATTTCGTTCCGGGTACGGCTTGACATCATGCCGTACCCGGAACGAAATGGAAGAATCAAATGGACAATGACGTATCTCCAACGAGGCGTTTTGGGGAGGTATTTTCTGTGTTAGAGTTTTACTCGCTACAGGGTGTACTTTGAGGGTTTTGACTCTGCACACCGTTTACATGCATAAAAACCTTCATAACACACAAGGGGATGGGTAATAACCGGAAAAGCATGACACCTCTCCTTTAATAACGCTTTGTTTGGAGCAGCATCTAATAGGTGCTTATAATCGATGTATTCATTTATATTAAGTTCAATAAAGGTTTGAAGACAAAAAATGTGTCAATGATCTCATGAATCCAAGTAGTGGTTTTTCCATCCAACATGTTTCAAAACATGAATATAGTTTTTGTTAAGCTCCGTGATCGCTCTTTCAGGACTGAACCCACAATGCAAACACGGACAAGAGAAACAGGAGTTGCAGCAAAAGGTTTCTTTATTACTAAACAAGTCAGAGGATTCTAACTGTAGTTATATAGTCCAGGAAAGGGGAAAACAAAGCCAGAGAATGGAGATCCTCCGCCGAGGCTCCGGAGAGAGCTGGGGATTACGCCAGGCAGAAAAAAGGTGGACAAGCCTGTGTCTTTGCGCTCCCAAGAGCGAGTTGGTTGGAGCAGGAGTGAGATGTTGTCCAGCCGGACAGGAGAGTGACGAGCAGGAGTTTCCGAGCTGAGGCTTGCGAACAGGCTGGAGCTGGTTGTGTGAAGAGACGATGAGTCCGACGAGGAAGTGGCTGGACGTGGCAAGCGGAGGAGGAGATGATGGATTCTGAATAACGAGACAAACAGGTAAGACAAAAACTAATTCCAGAGTAGTGATGAACCAAGCTAGAAAGCAGGCCGGGAGACAAACACAGACAGACAGACAACAAACAACAAACAAAAAAGGGAAGCAGGAGGGAGTACTGCAAATCCTTACAGTACCCCCCCCTCAACGGGAGCCTCCTGGCGACCACCAGGTCTGTCAGGATGGGCCCTGTGGAACTCCCTAATCATGACTGGGTCCATGATTCGAGAACGAGGAACCCAACAACGTTCCTCCAAGTTGTAACCCTCCCAGTCCACTAAGTATTGTAGCCCCCTACCCCGGCGTCTAACATCCAGGAGACGCCGCACGGAGTAGGCAGGATGATTATCGATGACACGGGGGGGAGGAGGGGGAATGGCCGGAGGGCACAGGTCGCTGGTGATTGCTGGCTTGATTTGAGAGACATGGAAAGTAGGGTGAATTCTCATATTTCTGGGGAGCCTTAAACGGACAGCAGAGGGATTGATGAGTCGCACAATGGGGAAGGGACCAATAAACCGAGGGGACAGTTTCTTGGACTTGGTGAGGAGGGGAATGTTCTTGGAGGACAACCACACCGCTTGTCCAAGGGCGTAAGGGGGAGCAACATGTCGACGGCGGTTGGCCGACTGTTGACTCCTGGCGGAAGCTTGGAGGAGAGCCAAGCGGGTGTCCCTCCAGATTTTACGGCAACGTTGGACATGTTTCTGGACAGAAGGAACAGCCAACTCCCTCTCCTCTTCGGGGAACAGGGGTGGCTGGTATCCTAGAGAGGCTTCAAAGGGTGAGAGTCCCGTGGCAGATGAGGTGAGGGAATTATGTGAGTATTCCACCCACGGTAGATGGAAGCTCCAGGTCCTCTGATTACTGTTGGCCACACAGCGGAGAGCAGACTCCAGATCCTGATTTGCCCTCTCAGTTTGGCCGTTGGACTGAGGATGAAAACCAGATGTAAGACTGACTGAAGCTCCAAGAGATTGACAAAAAGCCTTCCAAACCTGAGATGTGAATTGTGGACCACGGTCGGAGACAATGTCAGCTGGGATACCGTGTAGCCGGAACACCTGCTGGGTTAGATGTTGGGAGGTCTCCAGGGCTGAGGGGAGCTTGGGTAGAGCAACAAAGTGTGCACACTTAGAGAAACGATCGACGACTGTTAGAATGGTTGTGTTCCCTTGAGAGGGAGGCAGACCGGTGACAAAGTCCAGGGCTATATGTGACCAGGGTCGACTAGGGATTGGAAGGGGTTGGAGCAGCCCAGCGGGTTTCTGATGGGAGGCCTTGTTCCTAGAACAGGTTGTGCAAGCTGACACAAACTCCCTTGTGTCCCTGTCGACTGTAGGCCACCAGAAGTGTCTTCGGAGGAGAGAAAGTGTTCGATTGGCACCGGGATGAATCGAGAAACGGGAACTGTGGACCCACTGCAGGACTTGGGAACGAACAGAGTCGGGAACAAACTGACGATTGGGCGGACCGCTTCCTGGGTCGGGCTGTTCCAAAAGGGCCGCTTGAATGGAATTACTAATCTCCCAGGTGATGGCTCCCACAACACAACTCTGGGGGAGAATTGAGTCAGCAGAGGTAACTGGACTCACAGATGAGAACGATCTGGACAGAGCATCGGGCTTGGTATTCTTGGAACCAGGGCGATAGGTGAGGGAGAAGTTGAAGCGGCCGAAAAAGAGAGCCCACCTAGCTTGTCGGGAGTTCAGCCGCTTGGCTGACTGGATGTATTCCAAATTTTTATGGTCCGTCCAAACCAGAAATGGCTGCTCGCTGCCCTCGAGCCAGTGTCTCCATTCCTCCAAAGCCATCTTCACTGCCAACAATTCCCTGTTGCCCACATCATAGTTTCTCTCCGCAGGAGAGAGACGGCGAGAGAAAAAAGCACACGGGTGAAGCTTGTTGTTTGGCCCTGCTATCTGAGACAGGATAGCGCCCACTCCAATGTCTGATGCGTCAACCTCAACAACAAATTGCTTGCTGGAGTCCGGCTGGATGAGGATGGGGGCAGAAGTGAACAGAGATTTGAGTCTGAGAAAGGCCTCGTTAGCCTCAAAGGTCCAGGAGAACTTGACCTTGATGGAAGTGAGACTGGAGAGTGGGGCTGCGATCCTGCTGAAGTTCTTAATGAACCGGCGATAAAAGTTGGCGAAACCCAGGAACCTCTGCAATTCCTTCCACGTAGTGGGGACTGGCCACTCTGAGACAGCGAGAATCTTTCCAGGATCCGCCTCCAGCCTGCCTTGTCTGATGATAAATCCAAGGAAGCTGACACGTTCCTGGTTAAACTCACACTTCTCAGCCTTGACGTACAGCTTGTTCTCTAGTAGTCTCTGTAGAACCTGGCTGACATGGTTCTGGTGTTCCTCCAGGCTCTTGGAAAAGATCAGGATATCGTCGATGTAAACAAAGACAAACCGGTTGAGGAAATCCCGCAAAACATCATTCACAAGGGACTGAAAAACTGCTGGGGCATTTGAGAGTCCGAAGGGCATGACGAGGTACTCAAAGTGACCAAGGGGGGTGTTAAAGGCGGTCTTCCACTCATCACCTTGGCGGATCCGAACCAAGTGGTAAGCGTTTCTGAGATCCAGCTTTGAGAAGATGGTGGCACCTTGGAGAGGCTCAAAAGCAGAGTTAATCAGGGGAAGTGGGTACTTGTTTTTCACAGTGATGTTATTCAATCCACGG